TAGCTGTGTGACCCTGGGCAGGTCACCTAACCCTGTTTGTCTCAGTTTCCTCATCTGTAAAATGAGCTGGAGAAGGAAATGGCAAACCACTCCAGTGACCCAAAATGGGGTCACAAAGAGTCAGACATGATCAAACAACAACAGGGCAGGAAAAAAGCATATGCACCTACTATGTGCCCAGCACTGTGCTAAACATTTTACAAATATTATCTCATTTGATCCTTACAATAATCCTTCGAGGTAGGTGCTGTTGTCCCCATTTTACAATTGAGGAAACTGAGGCAGACAGATGTTAAATGACTTGCCCAGGATCACACAGCTAATAAGTGTCTAAGGCTGGATTTGAACTCACATTTTCCTGACTCCAGCCCCAGCACTCTATCCACTGTGCCACCTGTAGTGAGGCTTAAGTGAGAATGTATGCCTATAAGGTGCTTTGCCAACCCTTGCTGATTTGAGGGCAGAAACCGTGATTTTGCTGGTGGGATCACACCTGCAATGCTGAATCCCAACTCTTCTGTAGCTTAGATTCAGAGCAAACCTAAGGCACCATATAAATTCCTCCTATCAGTGTTATGATTGTCCTCTGTGTGAGATCTCTGGGAGAACCTGGAGGAGTCCTGAAGGAGAGAGGGGCAGGGTGGGCTTCATTCAGCACCCTTGGAGAGAATGCCCACATTAAGGAGCTTCCAGACAAAGCAACCTCCCGAGGGATGTCTCATCCAGGCCTGAAAGAAATCCCGGGTTCTCCAAGGCTCTGCCAGCAGAACATTAATTGTGGCAGCTCGTGCCCCCAGCCATAGAGGCTCTGAGCAGAGGCTCACAGTAATGGACTTTGTGTCTAAGCTCTAGCTCAGCTGAGTCCTGATAATCAGGAAGTTGCCACGGGGTGATAAATCTGTTGGCACTAGCAGCTCCGGAGTCCTGGCCTCTACCAAGTTAAGGGGGTGAAGGAGGGGGAGAAGAATCCCTTTTTTAAAAAAAATGACTTTACCACTCTGCCCAAGGGAAGACTGGATTTGGGGGGAGAGGGTGTCCCACCCCTTGCTCCACTGACTGCCCATCTCCCCTCTTCCCCTAGCTATTTGGCTTTGTGTATGCCTGCTACGTCAGCAAAGTGTTCCTGGAGGAAGAGGACAGCTGTGAGTGCCAGCCCTAGATTCCTGGACATGGGGGTGCCCAGGTGGCCTGCTGGTACCCCCCGGGGCTCCTACAGGCCTGGGCAAAGGAAGCAATGGAAGGCGATAGCATCCCTGGGGCTGAAGCAGGGAATTCTGCCTCTATCCCTGGGTCTCTGCCCAGCTGTGGCCTAGAGCCCTGTGGCACAGGCAGACCCTTGTGCCCCAGACAAGATGAGTCTTCTCGGACTGAGGAACCCAACCTCAGGAGCCCCAGCTCCCAGTCCCTGCCCCAGGCCCCAGTTGGAAACAATCCCCTCCATCCCACCCCTGCCCTGGGCTCAGGCCCCTGGGGCACTTCCTGCCTCTCATATGTGGACTCCACCCAATTTCCCTTTAGCCTATCCTCTCGGCCCCAGCATCATCACTGTAGCTTTTTGCCCCTCTTAGGCCAACCCTGTCCCCCTCCTGGCCATAGCCTTGCCTCTCCTGAGCCGCCCTGGGCACTTCTCTCCACAGTTGACTTCATTGGAGGCTTTGATTCCTACGGTTACCAGGCCCCTCAGAAGACATCACACTTACAGCTGCAGCCTCTATACACGTAAGTACTCAGGTTGGTAAAGGCAAGAGGGCAGGGGCAGGGCACAGTCGGAGGCATGATAAGCATAGGGCCAGGATGGCAGCCTGCTCCATGGAGGGAATGCTGGATTTGGGAGCAGAGGACCTGAGTTTGAATCTTTCTCTGCTACTTAGTACCTATGTGACCTTGGGCTAGTGACTTCTCTCTAAGCCTCAGTTTCCTCACCCATAAAATAAGTGGAAACATAATTGAAGGAAAAAATAATAAAATGAAGGATTTGGACTGAATCAGGTTCTTAACCTAGGTGAGCCAGGTAACTGGGTAGATAGAGTGCTGGACCTGGAGTTAGGAAGACCTTACTAGCTGTGTGAACTTGGGCAAGTCACTGGATCTTTCTGCCTCAGTTCCTCATCTGTGAAATGGGGAAAATAATAACACACCCTTAACTCCCCTGATTTTTGTGAGAAAAAATGAGATAACATTTGCAAACTGCTTTGCAAACCTTAAAGTGTTATAACCTAGTTGGATTTTTTTTTAAACTTTCAACATTATTGGTTTCCTTTATTATTTTATTTGTTTTATTTTATGCTTTTAAAAATCTGACTCTGAGGTTTGCCCAGACTGCCAAAGCCCAGGGTCCACCACCACCAAAGGCTAAGAAGCCGTGCACTCGAAGGCTTGCAAGGTCCGTCTCTTAGGGCTCTCAGTGCCAGGAGCAGGAGGGGAGAGGCCCCTACCAGGCACAGGAGCTGGGAGCCAGGAGTGGCACAAGCCAGGGAGGGGGCTTGGCCAGTGCAGGCAGCGCCAGGGTATGGCTAGGAGGAGGCGGCGGCGGCAGGGGAGCCAGGGCTAGGGATGGGGCCGGGCATGGAAGTTGGGGTGGCCCAGGGGCCAGAGAGGAGGCAGGACGGCCACAGCAGTGGCCTGGCGCGGTCCCCTGCCTGCTTCCTCTGCCCTGATCGCTCCTGGTTTCCCCCCAGGTCGGGGTAGCCCCCACCCCGGCCCTCCCCGGCGCTGGACACCGGACCCCGCCCTCTGGACTTGACTGTGCCGCCGCCGCGGAGCCGCCTTTCTCTTCTCGCCTGGACCGCCCGCTAAGCATCCAGCCCAGCCGAGCTCTCCTCTGGGCCAGGGCCCAGCGCCCACGCCGCGGAGCGGCCACCCAAGCAGCCACGGACAGGAGCGCCCCCTGCCGGCCCACGAGGACACAGCCCCGACTCGGACCTGTGGGCGGAGGAAGGGACTGGACCCTGAGCAGCTGGCCGGGCCCCCGGCTTAGCCCTAGGAACTTGGGGGGAGGGAGGGGAAGGGACTCGTGGGATTTGTATGTTTGTTTTTTTTAACTTAGCCCTGGTACTAAGCCTGTACCTCCCCTCTCTGATCCTACCCGTCCTCCTTCCCTTAAGTGGTAATTGCAACCCCTTCCACTGGGGAGCCCCTCCCCTCCAGAGTGGAGCCCCTCTCCTTTCTGTTGCGGGGGACCCACTTCCAGGAGGGCAGATTGTCAAAGGGACCCCAAAGTCAAACAATAACATGTGAAGACTCCTGTTCAGCCCAGGCCCCAGCCCCAGCACTACCATCCCCCTTTCTTCCCCTCCTACACATGCCATCCGCACCTCAGCTCCCTATCCTCCCCATTAATCTGGTATATCCCACCCATCCAGAGCAGACATCAGCCTCATAACCCCGGCGTACACTGCTTCCACCCTCTCTCCCTCCCACAGCCCCGGATCTCTTAGCTTTATATCTCCCCTCACCACCACTCAGGTACAGAGCCACCATCTTCCCCTATTAGCCTCCCCGCACCCCACCCCACTCCCACACTCATACTCCTGCCACACCGCCTGGTCTATCTACCAGGTCTATCTATCAATGTCTCTGTCAAAGCAATAGAGCAATGCTTGGTGTTGGGGAAAAGTTGCCAGATGCTGGTGATTGGAGGGAAAGCAGTTTACTTTCATATGGGGAATTCTTACCCACCTCTTCCAGAAAGGAAAGAAAAGTCTGAAACCAGTTCTTTCCTTTCTTGGGTCTTTTTGACCTGGGCCAGCCACAGTGATTCTTCTCCTGCCTGGCCCACACCTCCTCCTTCCTTTCTCATCATACCTTTCTTTTGTCCTCTTCCCCAGCCCGTCACACCTCCTGACCCAGACAGCCCCCCCAACACACACACACACACACACACACACCCCTTCCTGGGTGACCCCTTTTTTCTGTAGGGCCTGTCAAACCCCCTTGGAACTCAGGAACCCAAGGCATTGGGGAGTTTGGAGGCCATCCAAATCTGACATACTTTTCCACATCTGTGACATGTAAAGGAGGGGGAGAGGGCGCTGCAGGGGTGAGCAGGATATTTGGAAGGGTAGAGTACCCATTGCTTCTCTTGACTGGGGAACATACTGGTGGGAGACATCTTGTGGCCTCCTTTCCTTCTTAGGGGCAAGACACAGTTACCCAGGTAAATCAGCCTGGCTTGGTAGGAGCAGTCTTACCAGCACTAAATTGTGGATGGAATGCTTTGGACACCCAGCTCAGCCCTTAGTGTTCCCTCTTCTCATCTGTAAAGAGGGTGCCATTCCTGTTTCCTGGTGCTGGTCTGTCTGGCAAAATGAAAGGATTCGGCAGATTAGCTCTTGGGAGAGGAGGTGTAGACACTCGGGCAGAGGGTTGCCCTGTAAGACACAGGTGTCCCAAGAGGAAGGAGCACTGAGTCTCCTCTTGGCCTTTGGTGATGAGATCTTCTGGCCTCTCAGATGACCTTTGGCAGCCACTAACCACTCTAGGGGCACAGAGTCCCAACAGTTGGATTGGTCCATTGACTCTCTAAGTCAGGACTTAGCAATAGCCCTTCCTGTTTTCTGCCTGGACTCTAGCTCCCTTTATTTGCCCCTCTGAAGCCTCCTTCCTAGGACTGGAGCCGTTGGTAATCACAGCCCCTGCCTCTAGCCCGCTGGCCAGCCTGGGGAACGAAGAAGGAGGAAGCCTTTCGGGTCAGCTCCCTCCTGGCCCTGGGCTGGCATTCCCTCTTACCTCCCTCATATCACTTCCACCACCTGGGCCAAATGCTTCCAGACACACCCTCTGAATCGCCCTCCCTTGCCCAGGCTGGCTCCCCCACACATCCCTAGCTTTCTGTTCTACTCTCCCTCTTGGGCCAGAGCCTTCCTCTTCATCCCCCCACCATCCCCAAGTTGATTTTCTCCTCACCCCCTTTCCACCCCACTTGCTTGTTTTTACTCAACAGGTTTAGCCACAGGTGCTTTGAAGCCTTTTGATTTTTTAAGACAGTCTTTGTAAAGTGAATTGCTTTCTTTTCTAATTTGGGCCAGAAGGACACTACTCCCCCAACTGCCTGCCTTCCCCCAAAGGTGCTCCCCTGGTTTCTGTGCAGATGGGTTGATTAAAAATGGTGTTTTCTCTTTCTTTTCCTCCCATATCCTGATTCATCAGGGACAGAGCCTCTCACATCCCATCCTAGGGCCAGAAAGACAGGATGGGAGGAGTAGGTGAAGCAGAAGAGGGATCAGTGAAGATCTGACAGGGGAGACTCCTAGAGATTGGGAATGTGGGGCTTTAATGGCCAAGAAAATGGGGGAGGGGAGTTGGGCTGCAGATGTGGGGACTCATTTTATCCCAGAAACCAGGCCCACAAGTTGGGTCGTGAGCAGCAAACATTCATTGACCACCTACTGAATGGGGGCAGACACTGAGAGGTGGCACAGTGGATAGAGCACCACACACTTCCTCCCTGTGTGATCTTGGGCAGATCACTTCATCCTGTTTGCCTCAGTTTTCTCTTCTGTAAAATGAGCTGGAGAAGAAAATGGCAAACCACTCCAGTATCTTTGCCAAGAAAACCCCAAATGTGGTCACAGAGAGTCAGACACAACTGAAACGACCAAGCAACACCTACTGAGTGCAGACTTTATTTGTTTAACATCTCTGTCTCCCTCCCTGAGGCCAGCAGCCAACAGGAATTCCAGTTGAGAGCATTGAAATGCTAGCCAGAGATGATGGCAAGATCCAGGACCCCAGACCCAAAAAGGCTGATTTGAACAAGACTAATGGATAAGCTGGCCATTAAGGAAGAGCCAGGACTAGTTAGGAACCAGGAGCCACCTAGAAGTAGACAGAGCCCTGACAGTCATAGTCCAGACAGGTTGTCCTGGGACTAGCACGTGTGCATTGCACGCAGGCGTTTTGACAGCTGTGGTCAAGATTCCCTTTGTGTCAGCCTGGGAATCCCAAATGTCACAGGATCATCAGTCTCAAGCTGAAAGGAAGTGTGGAGGCCAGATAGTCCAAATTCATTTTACAGATGAGGAAACTGAGGCCAAAGGAGAGTAACTGACTTCCCCAAAGGTCCCCACAGTACATATCACAAGCATGATTTGAACCCAAGAGCTCTAACACAGTCCCCTAATGGAACTCGTAGCAGAACATGTATCCCACTGACGGTGTCCCCAAAGTGGTCACCCAGCCTCTTACAGATTTACAGTATGTCTGAGTCCAAATCCAGTGCATATTCCAATATGCTGCTCTTGACTCTTCTCTCAAGTACAATATGATCTTGAGCCTTGAAGGGTGAGTAGGATTGAAGGACAGAATATACTCCAGGTAGGGAGAGGAAGTCAGCAGAAGAGGCTAGAATGCATGCTGACCATTTGGGCAACGATAAAGATCCATGGATGGACTGTACCATCCTTTTGTGGAGGAGTGGGAAAGAAGGCTGTAAAGGCAGGTGAGGACCAGATTGAGGAAATGTTAAGTAAGAGCTAGCATTTCTGAAATGCTTTTAAAAATATCCTTACAGCAACCCTGGCGTTATGCCCATTTCACAGATGAGTAAACAAGCAGACAAGAGGATATGACTTGCTCAGGGTCACACAGCTAGTAAATGTCTGACACCAAATTAGAACTTAAGTATTTTTAAATTATATATTTTTTTTCATTCAACAAACATCTGCCCTCTCTCCCTCCTACCCGAATCCCCACCTCCCCCAAATGAAAATGAAAGGAGAACAA